AACTGCGGGACTTCGGAAGCGGCCGGGTCAGGAGCGCCTCCGCTGTCCGCTCGTGACCTTGGGCCAGTGACTTGGTTTTGTCTCCAAGTCCTCAGCGTCCTCGTCTGTGAAATGGGGCCGCGACTGCTGCCTGCTAACTAGAATTGTCTTTGTCTTAAAGTTGTGTTTCTAACTTGTTTAAAGACTTTATAATGGGGAGATTTTGAGATCACAGAAAAGAGAAAGAGCCTCTTTCAGTTTATCCCATTCCAAACAATTTGTCGGCCCCCCATTGTCTTCAAATCCTAAGGTGGTGTATTTATTTACTGACTAGAGGCACAGTGCACAAAACTTGTGCATGGGTAGGGTCCTTAGGCCTGGCGGGTGATCAGGGCCAATCTGTGGGGTGACCGGCAGGGCGGCCAGCAGGGCAATCAGGGGGCGCCTGCTGGCACCCGCCTTTGCTGGCTGGGGGCCTGTGGGCTGGGGGTAGCTCCTGCATTGAGCGGCTACCCCCTGGTGGTCAGGGTGCGTCATAGCAACCGGTCATTCCACCAGTTGTTCCTTAGTTTGGTCGATTTGCATGTTAGGCTTTTATTATATAGGCTATTATTTTATTTATTTTTTAAAATATATTTTATTGATTTTTTTTTAGAGAGGAAGAGAGAGGGATAGAGAGTTAGAAACATCCATGAGAGAGAAACATCGATCAAATGCCTCCTGCACACTCCCCACTGGGGATGTGCCCGCAACTAAGGTACATGCCCTTGACCGGAATCAAACCTGGGACCCTTGAGTCCGCAGGCCGACGCTCCATCTAGTGAACCAAACCGGTTAGGGCATATAGGATATTATTATTAGCATTTTTTATGGTATCGATGACCCTTAGATTCCAGGTCCCAAGACAGGAAGGGACATGGTCGTGTTTCCCCCAGCCAGGTGGTGGCCCAGCTGCCCTTGCAATTCTTTGTACATTGCACCAGCACAGCCTTTCTCTGCTGTGCCCCCCTTCCCCCATCCCCATCCACCCACATATTCCTGCACCCAGGGTGTCAGGGGATGTGGGAGGGGAGTAGAGTTCTCTGTAGCTCCCTGCTCACTTCCATGGGCCCAGCCTCAGTTTCCCACCTGAGCATTGAGGACCGTGCACTGCAGCTGTGACTTTCAAACAAGAATTTGCAGGAGGCTCACATGGTGTTTTCCTGTGGAACATGCAGGATCCAGATCCTGGCCCAGGGCCCCGATACAACCCTTCCCCTTAGAGACTGGAGGTAGACCCCACTCTGGCCACGCTGGGGAAGGGATAGAGGACACTCTGGATTGAGGCTGGGCCTCCGCTGTTCATTTCTCCCCGCCGCCCCCCTATTCCTCCCCATTTTCTCAGGGTCATCTTAGAAGGCTCCTCTGGGAAACAAGTTTGCTTGGGGCAGGGCCTGGGTTTGGGGGCAGGGCCTGGGAAACAGGCCTCAGAAGCCCCTGTCCCTCTGCTCCCTCCCCATCCAGCTCTCCCTGTCCGACCGCCTGCAGCTGACTCTGTACCAGTACAAAACGTGTCCCTTCTGCAGCAAGGTCCGCGCCTTCCTCGACTTCCACGCCCTGCCCTACCAGGTGGTGGAGGTGAACCCTGTGCGGAGGGCGGAGATCAAGTTCTCCACCTACAGGAAGGTGCCTATCCTGCTGGCCCAGGAAGGAGAGAGCCTGGTGAGCTGCGGGACCCCCACCATGTCCTGGGGGGTCCTGGAGTCCTCCCCGAGTCAGTCCTGGAAGGAACGCGGGCTCTTGGCCTCAGCTGAGGACAATGAGGGGAAAGTAGCTGGTATACAGTAGGTGCTCAGTAAATGTAGGCTGCCACCCTTCCCCACCAACACCAGACACCAGCCTGGTCTACGGGATCCAGAGCACCACAGAGCTTAGCAATGTGGGTTCTGAAATCAGCGAGGTCTGGGTTCCAGATGTGGCTCTGCCCCTCCCCGGCTGTGTGACTTGGGGCCAGTCACTTAGCCTCTCTGGGCTTGCTTCTTCATCAGTCAACAGAGGACCATGCTCTCCAGGTTGTAGGGAATGCCTGTATGTAGTATGTAGCTTCTGGCATCCACCCTGCTCCTCAGTGCCCTGGAGGCCAGGTAGGTGGAGCAGGCAGGGCCTAGACCCGGGGTCCTCCCCACACCCTCCTCCCCATTACCACACTTGGGTCTCCCTTCTGATCGGCTGCCCTGAGAGGGGGGCTGTATCCCGAGGGTGGGGAGAGCTCAGTGGACATGGGTTATAGGGGTAACCCCCCAGGAGTGGACCAACAGTACCCTGGTTCCCCCCGGCCAGTTTCTGAGGCATGCCTGGGCACGGTGTTGTAGAGCCCTCCACCCCCAGCCCCATCTAAATCACCCTCTTCTCCTCCAGCAACAACTGAACGACTCCTCTGTCATCATCAGCGCCCTCAAGTCCTACCTGGTGTCGGGGTAAGGAGCTCCCTGGATGCTGTCTCCAGGGAGGCCTCACCTGAGTCCTGCGTGTGGAGGGGGGGGCTGCTGCTGGCATTTCCAGAACGGGAATGGGCGTCCCACTCAGAGCCTCCCCATCCTCTCCTTCGCACATCTCCCCCCGTCGGGGAAGTGCTCTGGATGTCTCCCCTCCCCAGATCCCTCGTGCTGCACTTTTATGGGTCGGTTCCGGCTTCACCACGGGGCTGGGTCAGGCCGGGGTGGATATTCACCCCAAGGAGGCGAGGGCTGGGTCTCCTGGAGGAGGAAGGAGTTGGGGTGAGACTCTGGATGTCTCCTGAAGGCAGCCCCTGGATGTCATCATCACCTACTATCCACCCATGAAGGCCACCAATGACCAGGGCAAGGAGGTGACCGAGTTCTGCAACAAGTACTGGCTCATGCTAGACGAGAAGGAGGCCCAGCGCATGTATGGCGGGAAGGAGGCCAGGACGTGAGTGGGGCTGGGGCTGCCCGGGAAGGTGGCACGGCGGGGGAGGGGGTCTTCCCCAGAGGGGGCCGGGCTGAATGAGATGCTGTGCGGGGTGAGCAGCGTGGGAGGCCACGAGAGCTGGGCTGAGTCTATAAGGACCTGCTGCCCAGGCCTCGGCTCCCATCATGCACTGGGAGGGCTGGATAGTGGGTCTGCTCCCCACCTCCCAGGCCCCGGCTGAGGAAGCCCCCCTGGCCAGCCCTGTCCGCTGCTTCCCCGCAGGGAGGAGATGAAGTGGCGGCAGTGGGCCGACGACTGGCTGGTGCACCTGATCTCCCCCAACGTGTACCGCACGCCCGCCGAGGCCCTGGCCTCCTTCGACTACATTGTCCGGGAGGGCAAGTTCGGGGCCGTGGAGGGCGCCATGGCCAAGTACGTGGGCGCAGCTGCCATGTACTTCATCAGCAAGCGGCTCAAGAGCAGGTGATGGTGCATGTGTGTGCGCGCGTGCGTGATGGCCTTCGCATTGGCCTCACCTGGGCCTGGGTCGGCGTTTCCTGATGGACCACCCCTGTCCCTGCCCAGGCACCACCTCCAGGAGGATGTGCGCGAGGACCTGTATGAGGCTGCCAACAAGTGGGTGGCAGCTGTGGGCAAAGACCGGCCCTTCATGGGGGGCCAGAAGCCCAACCTGGCTGATCTGGTGAGCGTGGTGGTGGGGAGGGGGTGCCCAGACTGGGTCCCGTCTGTGGGTCGGGGAAGCCCAGGCAGGGAGAGCCCAGGTGTAGGCAGGGCTACCCCTCCAGCTCCCTCACATCAGAGGCACCGGCTCCATGTTACCAGGGGCATAAGGAAAGCCAGCTACAAGGAACCGTCTTGGTTCCCATAACTGACGAGTGTCATGGAGGGGTTGGCTTCAGGCCTAGCTGGATCCCGGGGCCCAAGTGGTGTTACCGGGGCTCAATGCCCTGTTGCATCCCAACTCCTCGAGTTGACCTCAGCCCAAGGCCAGCCTTTGTCTAGTGCCCCAGGCTCCCCCAGCAAAAGTCCTGGCTTCCACGTCCACGGTGAAGCATCCCTGTAGCCAGCGTGAAACATTGATTGGCAGGCCCAGCAGGCCCAGCGCTGTGCGGGAGGCCCCAGGATCTGAGAGTGGGGGAGGCGTTTTCTCAAAGGAAACTGGTGGGGGTGTTGTCCAAAAGCGGGGTGTGTGTATGGGGCAGGCAAACCTAGTTACCCCCTGCTTCGTTTTAAGCCCCGCGGCAAATGAGCCCTGCAGTGGGTTGTGGAGCTCGCAGAGCGGGGAGCGGGCCCCAGGGCACGCAGCTGGCAGGTGGCGGGCAGGTCTGGATGCCCTCTGTGCCCACCCCAGGCGGTGTATGGTGTGCTGCGCGTGATGGAGGGCCTGGAGGCCTTCGACGACCTGATGCGGCACACCCGCATCCAGCCCTGGTACCTGCGGGTGGAGAAGGCCATCGCCGCCGAGGCCCTCCAGTGAGGGCCCCCCGCGAACCCCCCGGGAGGAACCGGAGACCGAGGAGACGCAGCTGCCGGCACCAGGGCCACTGAGCCAGCACTCGGCGATGCTGTGCAGGGTGACGGTCATTCTACCTCCTGTCCACGCCCACCCCACAGCGTTCTGTCTAACACTGGACACCTGCGGGGGCCCTGGGGTGCTGGGGACACAGCCCCTGAGGGGCACAGGGAGGCTACCTCGCTCCTCCCGGCCCCGACTCTCAGCGGCTGCCCTGCCTAACCCTGTGGGTGGGAACTGGGTTGGGCCCCGCCCTGGACAAGGGAAGTAGGGACATCCCGGGTGAGGGAGAGCCCCCTCCTTGGCTCCTCATGTTCCCGCTCTTCCTAAGCATC